GGGGGGGGGGGACATTTATAGTGAAAGTCACCAGGAGATCTGATTTCCCATCATCTCTAGTGACTGAATCATATCTTCTGAAATATAATGCAGTTTAGCTCCCTTTTAACTATCTTTTCAAAATTCATATAGGGATTCCAAGTTCAAATACTTATCCAAATGCAAAGAAAACATTCTTCTGACCTAATTGACAATTTGGTCATCAGAAAAACACCTTGATAAGTGTTTTTTGAGATATGGTAGATTTCTATAGTCATGGAGTTGGATGGATGGGATCATGAAACGTTACTTCTCTCCCAAAACTGGTACCTCAAAAGCCACATGATGTTTCTGGATATATTATTTGAATTCTGAGTATATCCTTAAGGTACTTAGGGCAGTTTGTCAGTTGTTACTCAGTGATGGACTACATACTTCTTTCTTGAGCTGTATTTCAATTCTGAAGTATGTATCATTAGCTACTGTCATAAAGCGGAGCAGATGGAAAGTATGTTCGGTTCTCAACAAGTAAGATCAAGCTCTTTTACATGGGATTATGCCCTTTATTAATTTGTATGCAAACACTTTTTTTTTTTTGTATTTTCCACATAAGAGCTATGGTTTTTAACATTCTTTTGAAAAGGAACGCTCTGAGTCTAAGCAAATAAGGTAACATTTGGCCAAAGAATTCCCACAGAATTTCAGGAGCAATTTCCCATATCCACAATGAAGAACAACAGTCAACATATGTCACTTAGACATCCTATTCCACTTTTTCCTGTTTAAAGAGCTATAAAGGTAGCCATATTGTGCTACCTTTTACCTCTGTTATGTACATGTCAAAATAACCATTTGTGAAAGTCACAAGTTAATCCAACGTAAAACTTGACATGGCTCTCTCAGAAGAGCAGAAGCAAACAAGTTTTAGTTTGAGGCTTATTGAAGAATTACAGCACTGGAATTTGACAGCTCTAATTTCAATAAACTTTTACCAGAACTGGAAAGCAATTGGGTTAAAAGCTGTACTTCTAGCTGTACTCCATGGAGTAAAATCCATTAAATCCAAGTATTTGAGTTAATATGGTTTGTCGATTCAGTTGATATTGTTTATGCAGGCCTTTGTGGCCTGGTATTTTTCTCTTTCCATTTTGCATGTTGCACCATAACCTGTGTGTTAATTGCTAGAGGTGCTAATTTGCTAGGTAGCTATATTTGGAATATTCTCTTTCTTTGAGGAAGAATGGATGAAATGACCCTCTGTGGCTTATCTTTTGCATTCTGTTTATAGATTCATAGGACTTGAAAAATGCATCTATAAATCTAACCAATGCAATGCAATAGTTTTCAAGCTTCTCACATCATCTTATTTCTAGAAGAGTCTCTGCATGGCTCAAGTTGTGGCAAAACATTTGGGGTTATAGTGTCAATTGTGCACATAATAATTTACACAGGATTATGGCCAGCCTTTCTGAGCTACCTACAGCTACCTTAGATTAACATAGACTGCAATCTAGGACCTACTTATTTAGAAAATTCATATGGCTGCCCATCTTAAATACATAAGTCTGGGCGGTGAACAACTAATTTTAAAAAGAACAATATAAAAGAATCCCAAAATTAAAAATAATCTAACTTAAAACAATTTTTTTTTAAAAGGTCTCATATAGCAATTTCACACACACACGCAAAAACCATGCTTACATTGGGCTCCTCTAACATCCTGGTGCTTATGCCTGGTGGAAAAGTCAGGTCTTAAGAGCTTCCTGGAAGGCTGAGAGGGTTGTAGCCTTACAAATCTCAGAGAAGAGATTGTTCCATATGGCAAGTGTTGTGACAGAGAAGGCACATCCCCTCGGTCCCACAAGATGACATTATTTATTTAACTGTTGCATCTAGTGGAATGGGCAGTAACCCTCAGAGATAGATGGCCCCACAAATAACCTGGTCCCATGCCACGCAGGGCTTTAAATATAATAACCAGGACCTTGAATTGCACCCAGAAGCACACTGGAAGCCAGCGTAGTGTGTGCAGCAGTGGCATTATACAGGTGAACTTTGGAGCACCAGGAATGGGTACAACTGGTGCACAAGATGAATCTGTGCAAACCCTCCCTGGCCACAGCTGTCATCTGGTCTTCAGAGTTCCCTGCTGTTGGTTGAAAACCTAAAAAGGTCTAAGATATCTGCAGGACTGCCTCTTTCATGTAGAATCAAGGCATCTCAACAAAATCTATTAGTGGTCCCCCATTGCTGAGAGGTGATGGGGTGGGGGCAGTTTCTCTGTTGCAGTCCCTTTCCTTTGAAATAGCCTGCCCTCGGAGGCCAGACTAACACCCATCCTGATGGCCTTGCAGAAGTTAGTAAAAACAGAGTTGTTCTGCAGGGTGTTTGAAGCATTGTGGCTCTGTGTTCTTGTTTTGGTTGTAATTCTGCTTTTGTTATTCTGCTGGGAGTCTTTGTACTTTGTGGTGTATATTAACTAACTAAATATGCTACCCAATTGTGGCCACACAAAGGCTGATAGTGGGAACAGTAAGTTTTCAGATGCGTGATGCTCTGCCTAACTTCCAAGGTGCCCTGGCGTTCTCTGGAACAGAATCTAACAACTACTGATTTAGTCCAGTATTAAAGGGCTTAAATCATGCCACCCATGTCCGCTTCTTGAAAGGAGGAGTGGGTAATTTATAACAGGCACCTTGGCGGGAGGGTGCTGCTTTCAGAGGCTGTGAGCCTACTGAGTTACGTGGAGAAGCAAGGAGGACTATGGCCTCAAATCAATGACATTGACAAGTCCATGGCCCTCCTGTTCCTGTAGAAGCTTGTCATGACCTACTGAGGACAGAAAAGCCTGGCTATTATAGAAATGTGCCCTGAAAACAAGCAGAAAGGTGTGGCAGGACATGGCAGAGCTAACATGCTCACCTTTCTTTTCCTGCCTCATATGTTCCTTGGGTACCAAACCAGAATGGGTGATCTGACCTCCAGTGCAATGTAATGGTTATAGTGTCAGATTTGAGGGCTGGAGAAATCCAGATCCAAATCGCCAGATTACAACCATGGTCCAAGTCATAATCTTTCAGGGTAACCTTAGCACCAAAGATTATGGTTAGGAGAAGTGGAGGGAGTACTGTGAGGAGAAGGAGTAGGAAAAGAGATAAAATGGCATCTCTACTTGTGTCACAGATTGGCCATGAGAACCTGCCCGGCTTCCTTGTTGGCTTCTTGGATTTCCTGATAGAACATTTGCCTGCATGACTGTTTAATCAGCCCATTTTCTTTACCACATTTGCTAGCTGTGGTACAGTGAATTTGTACCTAATTCTGCAACATGCTGTCATGCAATTTGGCCTTTAAACAAATGTAACAAAATCCAGATGGCTGCTTTTGTTAGAGAAAAGTTATTTCAGAAGGGGGCAATTTGGATCCAAACATGTGGGGAGTGTATATGTGTTTAATTCTCTTGCCATCTATGGTTTTTCTCTTGCTACTCCTTCCCTTCCCCATACAATTCCTGAAGTATGTTTATCTTTTGTGCACTATTTGGCTGGTAAAATACCCACTGTTTGGACCGATCAAGCAAGAGTAGTTCAATACGTTCTGAGTTTTAAAGTCTGGGAAATGTTAAACTATAGGGGAGTTATGTTTGCATGACCCAATGGAAAATATCCAGATTTGATGTATACATTTTCTAAATGATTTGGAAAAGTACCTTTTAGGAAGTTAAGGTTCTGATATTCTACCAGCAGCCTTGAAAATTATGTAGTAGTATACTGGTCTGTCATAACTGAGAAAGCTGCACATACAAATTTTAATTGGTGGATTATTCAACGACAGCTAATCACAGGCAGCTAATTTAATCTTTCGCAAATGTAATTGGTGGAGTTGAAAATTAATTTTTGAAGTCCCTTTGCTGCTTCTGGTACCTCTCAGCAAGAGAGAATGAAAATATTCAAAAATAAAAAGAGCAATCGCCTTTATGGTTCAACGGTAAGCAATTTTACACTTCGTCCGATACTCAAACTTGGAATCTATGCTAGCGTTTTGGCAAGGGGCCAAATTACTTATGCTGAAGACCCAGGCAGGAGTGCCTGGCAATTCCGTACAGTAATTAACTGGCAGCCTTAACCGTACGAGAAAGAAAACTTCACGTTGAGCTTTTATCCAGCCCTTTGAAGGGCTTCCTGCTGCGAGCCGTCTCAGCGGTTCCAGAGGTATCCCCACCGTTGGCTACGCCCCGAAGGCAGCGAGACTCTTTAGGGTCCCCGGTGCTGCTGCAGGCTGAAGCGGGGCGAGACGGCAGCCCGCGACGAGCGCAGGTGGCGGCGCACGAGCCCCGGCGGACCCCGGGCGCCCCTGGGCTCAGAACTCCAGCCTGGGGAGTTCGGCTGAGGGAGCCGCCGGGAAGGGTGGAGGACAGCAACTTTGCGGATCCCTCGCAAGATCGCTGCT